TTTGAGTTTATCTTTTGTGGTGCCAAAATGTAATTTATTAGTATCGACGATATTATTTTAACGTTTTCTTTAAAAATCAATGCAATAATTTTGAAATAGGAGATAACATCATCAAATTGTAAAGAAATTTGGTACAATATAATTGTCAGTAGTAGGTACTACAACACATACTGATGTATTTCGTAACTTTAACCCACTTCACTGTATCCCCTAATTTCAGTATTTTTTCGGATACTTCGCACAATCGTTAAATAGGTATAAGGAATTCGAATAACAATAATAACAGATTTCTGGTAATGTATTATAAACACTCTGGACCAGTGCCGGCGTGAGGCATGTGCAAACGGTGCGGTTGCACCCGGCCCACAGTGATCTGAGAGGTAAATTTACGCGGCAAAAATTATTCTTTAAATATTTTTCCCAAGACGTGTGTTTTTTATGTTTTTAAGGGTGCTAAATTTACTTCTTATATAATTTTTTTTCAAAAATATTTGGTATTGAGGGGGCTAAGTCTAGCCAAATGATATAAAATGAATTTTTTTAATATTTGTGTATTTTTTGTTTTTTTGTTTGTTTAATATTTAATAATTTATTTATTAAATAAATAAATGTTTATAGTTCGTACCAGGGGGCGATCGCCAATGTTGGCGATTGCAACATGGCGCAAGCATAATTTTTTATCATGAATAAACGAAATACCATTATCTTCAAAGTATCAAAAATATATTATTATATCAACATTTTACATTTCACCATATTTCTTTTTAAAAACCCTTTAGCCAAAATCGTATTGGTTGACAATATGAAAACTTATTATTTTTATTATGCGTTAAATACTCTTTCTAGTTTATAGAACAATAATTATTGTACTATAGTATACCCTCTTAAGGCACTTTGCTGTATTTTAATTTCTGAGCACCCTGGACATTTAATTAAAAATGTTTGTTAGGAATCTCATTTTAAATACAAGCAGAAGTTTTTATGAAGAATGTTTTTTTGCGATTCCGTTACGAATATCTTACCACATTTCTCTTTATTTTGATATATAATTTTTTCTGAGCACCCTGTATATAAAATTCATCTTTTTATGAAAGTATTAATTTTTTAACCATCAAATATTTTCAAAAAGAATTCATTTTTTCCACAAAACGCATGCGTGAAGTGCACTTCTAGTTTTTTGTTTTTTTTTAGTTTTAGTCTGAGCACCCTGTACATTTAATTCAAAATGTTTGTGTAGGAATCTAATTTTTGAAACAAGAAAGAGATTTTAAATAACATGTTTTTTTCGTATCATACCTAATAAAAAAGTTTTTTTCTATTGTCATTACTAGCCGTGGGCACTCTGTATAATATACAAAGTATATTAAAAAAATTATTTATTTGTTATTAAATAATAATTTTTTAAATTTTTTTGTTTATTTTATCTTCCCCTTAATGCTACAACTGGATAACTCGAAATTTTACGAATCCAGTTCTACCAAAACGAATCCAGTTCTACTAAATACTACACTCTTAGAAAAGACCTGGTATTTGCAATGAAAATTTAGTTCCCAGAACCAATTTTATTAGTGAAAATAGGCACAACAAAAAAATATGTTGTGGGAACTAATACAAATTTGTTTTTACAGTTTGTTGTCGGAACAGCCAATATTGGTAGCTCCAACCAACAAGTTTAAGTGCATCGAAATTAGTTTTTTTTTTCATACAAATAATTGATATTTAATGCAATCACATTAGTCTGTCATTTTAGCAGCGTCTAAGTTGTAACAACTGCACTTGCTATTTATCGCAACAAACATTGTATCATGCAGGAATTTATTTTTTAATTGAAATTACATGAAAAAAGGTACATTTAAAGAATTTAATACTTGATATAATATAAATTTGTTTTGTACTGTAACTAAGTTATATTTAATATTAAATGCTTGCATTAGTAGCAACAACAAATTGATATTATTCCACAGTACATACCTGCTTAGTAAATATAACACTTTTTGTGTAAATATTATAAAAAATAGAGAAAGGAAATGCCCGTTCGTTTTAAAAATATTTATTATAAATTAAAAAATAACAATATAACTGAAAACACCAAATTTTGGTTTAAACATTATAACAAAAATTAATAATTACTCTAAGAAAACATTTATAAATATTTTAACAATAAAACAAAAAGGATTCTTTGGTAAATATACACAGATAGGTACACTAAGATGAAAGTTGACTATACTTCTTCAGTAAACCGTGATGTTTACGTGAAGTGCAAGCCTTTGTTTAACAACTTAACAATGATTCTTAGGTACAACGTAACATACTTGGATGATAACAGGGGTAAGCATTCGATAAATTTTGAGTATAGGCCCTATACCAAAAATGCGACTTGAGCTGTAACAAAACAAAACAAAAAAATTCTCGAAATTCCGACGTGATGGAGACTTTTGGTGGCACCATTGGATTCAGGAGGCCATTTTCAGTCGGAATGGCATTTTCACATTTTTGGATTTTTTTTCGGACCCCAAAACTACAATAGTGTAATTAAAGGAGTGCAATAATAATACCTAACCTTTAAAAACTGGAACCAATTTAGGCAAACCCCATGTTCCTAATAAATCTGCTACTTCAGTCCGCTCATCCATATTATTTGTTCGAGATATCTATAAGTAACCAACACATAAGAATATATTCTTATATATATGAATAGTTAAAAAGTATGTCGCCACTGAATTTACAGGGGCAAATGACTAATTGTAATAAACTAGTTTCTTACCTAAAATATACACTACACACGAGCTGATACACAAATACAAAAGAACAAACACCACCGAAGTCTGGACGCCGTGCAACACCGTTTGTTTACAGGTTAAAACTTTTAACTTAAAAGTAAAGCACGCGCCGGGCTGGACAAATCGCGCGCGAAATGCAGAGTTTGCAGTTGCATTAACCTACAGAGACAACATCCCCAACTGACACTTTGTTTCACACCGCTGGTTTCTTAGCTGTGTGAAAAGTGACGCATAGTTTATACAACCGAACCGTTAGTTCCACGGACTAATTTCAGTCAGTTGAGAATGTTACTTAAATATTTGGTCCAACAAAAACATTATACCGCCGAAATGATTTTTTTGAGATAATGTTGTCAATACTTCTAGCCAACACAAAGTTTCAGTTAAAATAACTTAATCGCCTTTTTGCAGTAAATTATACTCAACAACAAAACTAAATCTTTTCAGGTAATGATGCAAGCAGTTACACATATAAAGGTACTGATTACAAAAAACAAAAAATTTTATTTTCTGCAACAGTTTTACCCCAACGATAATAAGTTAGTTACAAATACCAGGTCTTTTCTAAGAGTGTACCAATGTTAGAATATTTTTATTTATAAATGTGTTTTTCCAGATATCTAATTGTAGCATCGAGGGGACGATATTATTAAGGTAGTTTTTTTTAGAAATTATACCTAATTAATGGGCACTAAAAAGTGGGTAACTATGAGGGGCGGCAAAAATAATTTTTGCAGGGGGTACCAAAATGTCTGGAGCCGGGCCTGAGCAGAAACATAAGTTGCAGACGCTGAAGTCGGTTGAACTTGTTGATGCGTATTGTCAGTGGGAAATGTTTTGATCTATAACGTTTGAAATTAACAAAATGCTTACAATATTGCATATTACCTTTACAAAACTTTCGGTAAAATATTTTTCTTACTATAATTTTGCAATTATAACAACAAATAAACAATTTATGTTTTTACTTTTTTACTTTTTATGTTGTTTTAAGTGTTTAATGGTACTTTTATTTGTTATAAAGTAGTAATTTGTTAATTAAAATACAACCTTTTATTTTTACTGTATTGGCACCGCTGAATTCACGGCCTACTGTTATTTATTTATCAAGCTCTTCAAATGGAGATAGGTACATACACATTTAATTTTTTCCCGTATTTTCGGCCGAGGTAGTAAGAAAAATAGTATACACTACACGGGCAGAAAGTGTGAGAGCCCTGAACTGTGCGCAATGATGCCCTCGGCTTCGCAGGAATCTCACACTTTCTGCCCTTGTAGTGTAATATACTATTCCTTTGTTAAAATAATTACAAACCCTAGTTTTTTACAAAAAATTATTTTAAAATTTTACAAAATAAAATTAACAAATCTGATTTTTATAACAGTGTAAGCATTTAAACCATCGATTATTGTTACGTTATAAATACGAGGTGTGTTCAGAAAATAACGGGAATTGTTAAATTTCGCGGGTTCGGAGGGTCCGGTTGTCCTAAAATTTTCTTTTTCTTTATTATGTTGGTATACATGCCCCCGAAGTATGATAAAAATTCTAGCTGTTTTCATTGTTTACTTTGACTGTGGCAGCCGCTAAGGTTAGACGTGTTTTATGAGCTCGGCGATTTTCGCCCCGAACGCACAAGCATATTAACAACCGATAAAAACATGGAAAAAGTGGAAGAAATGGTTATAAACCATCAGAGAAGTCGCTGATGATATTGGTATATCGATTGGCTTATCCCAGGAAATTTTTTTGAATGTTTTGGATATGAAACGCGTGGCAGCAAAATTTGTTCCAAAATCGTTAAATTTTGAACAAAATTTTTGGCCAAAAATAATACTGTAATGATGCCCCAGCCTCCATATTTGCCAGACATGCCTCTGTCTGACTTTTTCCTATTCCCAAAAATAAAGAGAACCTTAAAGGGCCGTCGTTTTACAAGCAGAGATGACATTAAAAGCGCATCGCTGAAAGAACTAAAGGCTATTCCAAAGATCGAGTTTTAGAAGTGTTTCGAGTATTGGAAGAAGAGCTGGCACATGTGCATAATATCCAATGGGGACTATTTTGAAGGCGACAACATTAATGTAGACAAATAAATAAATATTTGTTTCAAAAAACGAAAATTCCCGATATTTTCTGAACAAACCTCGTATATTTCCGAACTGCATCTGTTTTCCCGAATAAACATTCAGAAAAATAAAATTGAATCCTTGTTGCAGGTTTCCTTAAGACTGGCACCAAAGGCAGCGCCCAGGGGAATTTCGGCCTAATGGACCTCGTCGCGGGACTGCACTGGCTCAGAGAGAACCTGCCCGCTTTCGGGGGCGATCCCGAGCGCGTCACCTTGATGGGCCACGGGACGGGAGCGGCCCTCGTCAATTTCATTGCCGTATCGCCAGTCGCAAAAGGTACGTCGATTTTTTGTTTTGTTGTTCTTTGCTTCGATAAACACGAATTGAATTGCTTTGAGAGAATATTTACTTTAGTTAACATTTTAGTATTATTAGGAAAGTTGTCAGTGAAAACCCGAATAAATTAAATTAATTAATTTAATTCGTGAATTAAACCAAATAAATGTTTTTAGTATTTTAAACGACTTTTTAAAAATATTTTTTTGTAAATATGTTTAAAGTTATTCTTTATTTAATAAAAAATTTCAATTTTAATGGTTAATTAAGTCTAGATTGAAACTCATCATGTTTTAAAGATACATTGATAAATTAAAGAAAACATTTTATTTAGTTAGTCGTATTACAATTCACTACGATTTACAGGGTGTTACATTTTTTAAAACTCAAAACAATTGATAGTTAAATGTATTTAAATTATAAAATGCAACTGTAAAACTATAAGTTTAAAAATATTGATTTTGAAAAATTGTAGTTCTAATATTTTATTCTTCAAAATTATCGGTTTAAATTTGTAAAGAGTCAATTAAATGATAGTCGATATATTTTTAATTCAAAAATTCTCACATTACATTTAAATTTAAGTTTTAAATTTTGGATTAAAAATTTATCGACCATCATTTAAATGACTATTATTAACAATTTTAAATTTATATATTTTTAACACAAAATTTATAACTTTACATTTAAATGTAATGTGAATATTTTTGTGTTAAAAATGTATTAAATTAAAAGTGTTAAAAATAAAAATGTTTGGTTTAAATTTGTGAAGAGTCATTTAAAATTTACCACTTTAAAATTTAAAACTAACATTTAAATGTAATGTGAGAATTTTTGAATTAAAATGTATCACTATCATTAGAATGACTCTTTCCAAAATTAAAACCGGTTATTTTGTAGAATAAAATATTAAAACTACAATGTTTAAAAATCTATATTTTTAAACTTAAATTTTTAGTTGCATTTTATATTTAAAATTTTTTTGTTTATCAATTGTTTTAAGGCTAAACAAAATTGGTACACAATTTTCTATGTGTTTTTATTATAAATGTCTTGATAATATTTTTAATACTAAAAAACTTTACCAATTTAATATAAATAATTTTATAAAATAATTACTTAAGATTTACAAAATTCTGCCCAAATAAATTATACTTGAGAAATTATTTTTATTAAGAATAATAGTTATAAATGTTTGCAAAAATTTTAAGAATAATATTGTTTTTACAGAAGGGAACTGTTAATTAGTAAAGTGCGTCTTTCAATACATGTTGGTTGAAAACACAGACCACTGGTCTGTGGTTGAAAACATTTTAAATTTATAAATGTAAACCTAAAATTTTAAGTTTAGAAAATTTTAAATTAAAAAAATTTTAATAAACGTTAAAACGGCGTGCCATAAAGTTGGCTACAAAAAGTACATAAGACAAAGTTATGAATATTTATTTATCGGTAAGCATGGCTAAATCGCGGTAGCTCCTACTTAACTAATGCATATTCCTCACTCAAGGCGTAAAGATTTACGTGCCTAAGGATCTATGCATAAACATCCCGTTCTAGTTTTAAATATATTATTATTGATATTACATTTTTATTTCGTTTATAATAATGTTAAATAGCCAATATATTTTTTATTTTGAATATCAAGTAGGATTTTTTTAATAAATTACCCTTTTTATACCTACTGCAATAAACAATATTAAATATTGTTACAATATTAAATATTATTACAGAATATATAAGAGGACTAATTAATTACCAAATTTTGGTAATTAATTAGTCCTCTTATATATTCTGTAATAAGTTTGGAATATGCAACTCCAAATGTGTTTCAGACTTTACTTTTTCTACGTTTCCAAAAAATTCCATAAAAAAATAATTTAATGGGAGAAAGCATAGAGTAGTAGTAGTTCTCTTGTCTCTGGGAGAAAGTAAGGGTGGATCTGTCTAAAAGTTTTTAGATAATAAACCCAGAGATGGCGCCACCAGTGTTTATTTCGATATCCGGTGATAAACTAATTCATTCTGTAACAGTTTAAGGAATATATTTAATTTCACATTTAAAAATGATTTTAGAACGGACATATTAAGTACACATAAAAAAATCTAACATAGTATCAAGAACAGCGCTGTCATTGAATGCATTAAAATTGAAGCAATCTAAATTGTTATTTGCTCAATTAATTACTATTAAACCAAAATAAGGAAATACTTTGCCTAAATGTCAAAGAATTTATTGCGTTAAATGTATACATAGTACCTATACATACAATAGTAACGTTATTAAATAAATCAAATTAGTATTTAATGCAATAACATTTTAACATTCTAACAAATAAATATCAATAGATTTAGGGGAGATAACTTGTTGTTGTTAATTTAAAAACAGTAAACGATTATAAAGTGCTAACTACCTATTGGTATTATAGGAACTGTTATTCAGGAATACGGATTACAAGATCCCATTGGTTTAATGGCTCACCCATTCATGCTATGCTAGCGTTTTTTCTGTGTAATAGGAGTTTAAAAAAATATTTAAAGAGGTAATGTTTTTCTACTCCTATTACGGAATATGACCATTCTAATATCACTTTTTAATGTGTAATACCATATATTCCTTAGTATTACAGAATGAATTATTCTATCATCGGGTGACAGAATAAACACTGGTGGCTACATCTCTGTATTTAATTTCTAACAAATTTTATACCGATCTAACCTCACTTTTTTCAATAAAATTATTTTTCTATGGTATTTTTTGGAAACGTAGAAAAAGAATAGTCTAAAACACATTTGGAATATTATATATAACATAAAATATATAAATAATTATAAGATAACCTTAAAAAACACAAGCTGCTTTTTTGTAACGCGCAAAATAATAATAGCGATATGTGCCACAGTTATAAACTACATGGGTTACAGAGTTCTTTCATATGAAATCTGTATTTTATAACGTTTTATAACAATCACATTCTTTATTAATACTGAGGAACTACTTATTTGTTATTTTATTTAAGTTTTAGAATTCTGTTTCATACAAAACCTATTAAATATATCATATTTTTACTATTGCAATATGATGGGAACTTGGGGTTATATAATGCTAACTTTCAACCTTAAAAATAATTTATATTTAATAGAAAAATTTTCTATTAATTTTTGTTATTTTAAGTTCTTATTTATAAATCTAGTTCTATATTAGCTGTCTCAATTTATTATTTTTTTAATAAGAAATGTTAGAGACAACTGACACATGACAGAGAGCCTTAATAGTATATAGACTCAATTATAAAAATACACATTTTGTTTGTTTATTATTTTTTCAAGAATGTTTTTTCAGTAAAATTTATTTGTACGAGATTTAAAAATACCTATATGAAATCCATTATTAAAATTATTTAATTCTTAGTTTGGTAACAATATATTTTTTATAATAATTTAAGAATTTAAAAAAATATTGTGTAAACAATATAATATAAAGTATAATAAACCCTAGGTCTTACTTAACACAGGTAAAAGGAAAAAAATATATTTATTCGCAATAAAAAGTTATTGAAATATTTTCGCAAAACGGTCAAAAAGCCTCAAGTATTGCAAATGTGAATACACTGAAAAAACAAATCTGTTCTATCAACCAATAAATTTTTTGTTGAAATTGTTTTTGTTGGTCCTAATAAAAAATTTGTTAACCCAAGTAAAGTGTTTAATACATTAGTATTTGCAACAAAAATGAATTTGTTGGAAAGAATTAGTTTACTCTACTGACAATATGCGTCGCCGCTAATAGGTATCCTTAGTAAACATAACAAATATGTTTTTGTTGTCAATTTTCGCCCAAAATTGACATGATGTGACATTGAAATTTATTTTATAAAGTTGACCGACTTGGTGCCATGGTTAAAGTTAAGTCTTGGTGTCATAGTGATTGAATAATAAAAAAATAATTTGTCACTGTCAAAAAATTTTTGTGCAAATGCTAGAGGAAGCAGGTTCGAGTTAATTAATTTTTGTGCATTGGGCGTTATGGATGAAGAAGTAAACCAAATATTAACCGAGTGGGGATTTTCTTCATTAGAAAATACTTTTAAAGGTACCAAAATAATTTTTGTTAAAAAAAATCAAACAATATTAAACTATACCTACACAATATTGTTAATGCAACTCTTTTTATTAATTAGTATTACATACTGAAAGAGGTGCTTTAACAATATTGTGTAGGCATAGGTTAATATTGTTTAAGTTCTTTTAACAAAAATTATTTTTTGGTTATTAAAAGAACTACCAAATGTTATAACAACAAAGCAACAATGTTGTAGTTACTCATTACCATAGCTTTTCCAACAAATAGATTTATAATGAAAACAAATGCAAAAAGTTATAGAAACAAATAAATTATTACCTAAAACAAATGTAAACTGTTTTAACAACAAAATATTATTGTATGAGATATCAATAATATTAGTTACTTTAAACAAGACGCCATAGTTTTGTCAACAAAAAATATTAGTTACAGTAACATATTATGTCTCAACAAAAAAAATTTGTTGTTGTAACAAAGATTTTAGTTGAGGCTATAGCTACAAATAAAATTTGTTGGCGCAACTTTTTTTTAGTTGCTTAAACAAATTATTTTTTTCAGTGTATGTTTACTTATTAAAGTTGGGTATTTTTTCGTTTTCTTTACTTTCCCCCGATAAATAAGAAAGGAATTACTTTAAACCCGGCCTATGAACATTTATACGACTGATCGGCGGAGGGCGGATTTCCCATTGAAAGCGATATTTGCTGCGTTGTACACACAATTTGTCGACGTCAGAACAGATTGAAAAACTTGAATTCCCCAGCGAGAATATCGCATTTAATGAAAGAGCTACTCGCGTTTTTTTTACTATTGTTCTTTGACCCAGTTGCAACTGTGACAAAAATTATTTTACTCAAATACCTACATATTTACTAGGTGACTAAAAGTATTAAGTTTAAAAAATTTAATAAAATAG